ATTGCCAAATCCAGTGTCATGAAGGTTTCTCACTATATCTCCTTCTCACAGATTTACGGTTTTAGGTCTTATGTTTAAGTCTTACTTTTAGACACATTTTTGACTTAATTTTTGTATATGGAATTTAGCCTCTTTAACCTTTTGAGATGGTTGATGTCCTTGAGCTTGGTCCAGATGCCACACTTCTTTCTCCTCTAATGCTGACAAGCTTTTCAAAGGCATTGAATTTGCCTAAGATATTGCATGTTGGACTCATCTAAGACTTTAAAGTGTATCTTGTTGACAACTCCAAAGAAGCCACAAGTGCTGAGTGAGGTAGCTCCCGTAAGCAAATGAGATGATTTTTATGAAAACACCTTGAAAAGTATAAAATGATAATCACATGTGCATAGAATAATATTGACTCAATTTGAAGTACATACCAACCCCATTTTTAATTGATTTCTGTGAGGCCCAGATGGATGGACATAACTAGGAATAATGAGATTTAGGTCACTTATAAAGGATGCCTGTGCCAAACATATTATGTGACTAATCCAAAAATGAATATGTATATTAATAAGCACAGATGTGTGTATATGCATTATATATGTATACTTTTTCTTCTATTCTCTTCCATGATTTTTTTCTTTGCCTTTCATCTTCTGTTACTAATCTAGTTTCTTTGCAGAGGTTTATCTGCTCTAGAGCAAGTTGAAATCTAATAATAAGCAAAATAATCCCTTTTAATATACCCTCTAATACTGCGGTCCCCAACTCCATGGCTGGACAGCAGGAGGTGAGCAATGGGCAAGGGAGCAAAACTTCATCTGTATTTATAGCTGCTCCCAATCACTCACATCACTGCCTGAGCTCCGCCTCTTGTCAGATCAGTGGCAGCATTAGTTGCAAGAAAACAAACTCAGGGTTCCCACTGATTCTGCATTATGGTGAGTTGTATAAATATTTCATTACAAATTACAATGTAATAATAATAGAAATACAGTACACAATAAATGTAATGCCCTTGAATCATCCCAAAACCATCTTCCCCACCTTGGTCCATGGAAAAATTGTCCTCTATGAAATCGGTCCCTGGTGACAAAAAGGTTGGGGACTGCTGCTCCAATACATTGTATAATAGTTTTATATGAAATAAAATGTAGTAGAAGTGCTGCGTGAGCCTTTCATGGTCTGCTCACGTGTCCTGGCAGGACACTTCTTCCCGGATGCAGAGAATAGGGCGCAGTGTTTAGAAGCCATATGCTCACAAAAGTGACGGTGACTTAATTGGAATAGGGACGACAGAGAGGCGTACTGATTGTGTGAAGTGGTGCTGAGTAGTTGGCAGGTGTGTTTGGGTGTGGGAGAAGAATTTGCATTTGGATAGGATCCTGGATCTGAGGGAGGAAACTTGAGATTAGATGGGCAGGCACTGGTGAGATACAGAGCTAAAGGAAAAAGGGAAATTGGACTGAGTCACGGGGAAGGAAATTCACAAGAGAAAATGAAATTGTGCAGTGGTGGAGTGGGACTGGGGAGGGGTATAAGAGAACAAATAGAAAGGTTGAGAGGCAGGAAGTCTATCTAAATGAGAGAAGAGAAATTCACCAGGGAGTATGGAAGTGGGTAGACAGTACTTTGACTAAAAAAGAACAAGAAAAACAAGAATGTAGAGTTCGTTCCTGTAGAGTGAAAAGAACAGCATACCATCCACCTTTTAAGAGGAAGTTGTTCAGAGTGCAATGAGGAACAAAATTATAACAACTGTTTGAAGGAGAGTATAAACACAGAAAGGAGATTAATCAATATGAAGATAAAGGAAAATAGGTTTTATTTATTTATAAATTTAAAAAAGGAGAGTGAAAAAGATTTCAGAGAATTTGAATTTTTCTATATTTTATTTCAGAATGCCCAAAAAATTTTGTCAGTGATTTTCTTAAAGGTAGAATTAAATTTCCCTTTTCTTGAGGCATTGACTATATATATGCTGCATTCTTGTCTTTTTATATTTATAATGAAGGAAACGTATGTGCATGAAACAAACATATATTGCCACAGCATTTTATTCTAACATTTTATTTGAAACAGTATATTATGTAGGTATTTATCTTCTTGTCACCAAGTGTGTTCACTAACATTGGCAGGTCAGAAACTATTATTAGAATCATGCAGGTTTAAATTATGTAGCAGTTGTTGATTTAGTTATAGGATTATATAGTAGCAGAAATTTCTTCCTCATTATGTTCTATCACAGGAGTCAGCAAACTTTTCAGTAAAGAGCCACATAAGTTTTGCTGGCCAGGTAGCCTCTGTCACAACAACCTAACTCTGCTGCTATAGAGCAAAAGCAGCCACAGACAAAACATAAATGAGTGAGCATGGCTGTGTTCCAATAAAAATTTATGAACACTGAAATTTGGATTTCATAAAATTTTCATATGTCATGAAAAATTATTCTTTGTCTATTTTCAATATGCAAATACCATTCTCAGCTTACAAGTTGTACAAAAACAGGTGGCTGGTCAGACTTGGACACAGTTTGTAGTTTGCTAATGCATACTTCACTGTGCTAAGGGGAGATTTCTTTTCATTTCATTTGCTTATCAGCATTTTTCTTAGTAATTTTTTCTAAAGTTTTATAAAATGAATTTGTAGATCAATTTTCCATATCCTTTATATTTTGTGAGACTCTACTATGTGTAAGAGAAGTGCATTATTTCACAAACTCAAAATGTGTGACTCTTTTTACACTGCCAGAGGGAATTATTTTGTAAAAACACAAGTGTGACTTAATTATTAGAGATATGTCTTCAAAAAATAACTAGATTTGGGTCTTCAGAATAAATATGAGAAAATTCCAAACCTAATTCTTGGCTCATAGCAGGCATTTAAGCAGAATTTGAATTGATGTTTATATTATAATACTAAAATTCATATCAACCTAAAAGGCCCTGAATATCCAAACAATCTTGAGCAAAATATACAACTATTTGACTTCAAAATATATTACAAAGCTATAGTAACCAAATCAGCATGGTATTGGCATAAAAAGAGACATATAGGCTAATAGAACAGAATAGAGAACCTAGATATAAATCTAAACATTTACAACCTATTGATTTTTGACAAAGGAGCCAAAAACATACATTGGGAGAAAGACAGTCTTCTCAATAAATGGTGTTGGTAAAACTGGATATCATATGCAGAAGAGTGAAACTAGACTCTTATCTCCAACTATACGAAAATAAAATAAAAATGGATTAAAGACTTAAATGTAATACCTGAAATTATGAAACTATTAGAAGAAAACACTGAGGAAATGCTTCAGGATTTTTGTCTGAGCAAAGATATTTTTGGTAAGACCTCAAAAGAATAGTCAACAAAGCAAAAGTAGACAAATGGGATCACATCAAGCTAAAAAGCTTCTGCACAGCAAAAGAAACAATCAACAAAGATAAGAGACAACATACAGAATGGGGGAAAATATTCACAAATTCTCCATTCAATAAAGGGTTAATAATCAGAATACATAAGGAACTCAAACAACTTCATAGCAAAAAACCAAATAATTTGAATTAAAAAAAATGGGTAAATGATCTGAATAGACATATCTCAAAAAAGATATGCAATTGGCCACCAGGTATATGAAAAAATGCTCAACATCACTAATAAGTAGGACAATGCAAATCGACACCATAATGAGATATCTCACCCCAGTTAAAATGGCTACTATCAAAACAACAGCTAAAGATACTGGTGAGAAGATGGAGAAGGGGAATGTTCATATACTGTTGTTGGGGATGTAAATTAGTACAGTCACTACGGAAAATAGGATGGAGATTTCTAAAAAAATACTTAAAAATATATCTACCATATGATCTAGCACTTCCACTGATGGGTATATATTTTTAAAAAATTAAAGCAGTACAATATTGAAGAGATATCTGCACCTCCCATGTTTATTTCAGCACTATTCACAACAGCTAAAATATGGAATCAACCTAAGTGTCCAGTGATGGATGAATAGATAAAGAAAATGTGGTGCATATGTATAATACAAAATGGAGTATTAGCCATAAAAAAAAATGGCATCCTGTCATTTGCAGCAACATGGATGGAACTGAAGGACATCATGTTAAATGAAATAAGCCAGGCATATAAAGACAGATATTGCATGTTCTTACTCATACATGAGAGCCAAAAACATTGATTTCATGGAAGTAGGGAGTAGGCTGATGTTTACCAGGGGCTGGGAAGGGTAGAAGAGAGCAGAAGAAGAGTTTAGTGAGTGAACTCAAAAATACAGTTAAATAGAAGAAGTAAGTTCTAGTTTTTGATAGCACAGTGGAGTATAGTTAACAATAATATATAATTTTAAATAGCTAGAAGGAAGATTTTGAGTGTTCCCAATACAAAGAAATGGTAAATGTCTGAGATAATGGATACGCTAATTACCCTGATCTGATCACTATACATTTTATTGTTACGTTTTGAATCATCAGTATGTACACTGTAAAATGTGTAATACATTTTTTTATGTGTCGAAACAAAAATTTTAAAAGTATTAAAAAAACAAAAAACAATAATTTATTTTATATTTCAAAATAGCTAGAAGAAAAGATTTGGAATGGTCCCAACACAAAGAAATGATAAGTGTTTGAGGTGATGGATCTTCTAAATACACTGATTTGATCATTACACCTTGAGTGCGTATATTGATATATTACACATATTCCACAGGTATGCACAATTATTATGTATCAATTTAAAAAGTTAAAATATATATGCAAAAGACACACACACAGAGAAATCCATTGCTCTTCTGCTGGGCACTGTCCTGCCTGTGATATCTGGAACTGCTACATTGTCATGTAAACATGACGGGGACCATCTGAGGACAAACCTAACTCGTGAGGTTAAGTCAAACCAGTCTAAGAAGTCAGAATGAAAAGATGCAAAGCAAATAGGTTCCTGACTTTGTTGACTTAGTGAATTAAGCAATCCCGAGGCTAGCTTACCTTTGGACTTCTTGCTGTACGAGATAATACATTTTCCTCATTATTTAAGTCAGTTGAAGTTTTCTGTTACAGGCATCTAAAGGCACAATAAAGGGTATATAAGTAATTCAGTGCTAATTCAGTTTATGGTTTCAATCTATTACTTAACTGGTTCGACTACATTTAATAGCCCAAATCAATGATACAACAAATTCCACATCCTAGAGAATAGTCAAAGAGAAGAATGAAATTATATACATGTTTATAACATTTCACTGTCCAGAAAGCCTCTCAATTTCTTTAATACACTCTTTTTTTTTTTTTTTTTTTGAGACAGAGTCTCACTCTGTTGCCCGGGCTAGAGTGAGTGCAGTGCATCAGCCTAGCTCACAGCAACCTCAAACTCCTGGTCTCAAGCGATCCTCCTGCCTCAGCCTCCCAAGTAGCTGGGATTACAGGCACATGCCACCATGCCCGGCTAATTTTTTCTATATATTTTTAGTTGCCCAGTGAATTCTTCTATTTTTAGCAGAGACAGGGTTTAATGCACTTCTGATTCCTCCTGCTAGTCATACTCTGTGTTACAGGCAAGACCACTTTCCATAGTTCTGTTGCTTCCTCTCTGCTTTCATCCTTTAATGATGGTTTGTTGCTGGCAATCCAGAGAAACAACACTTACTGATAAAATAGTAGCTTCCCAATTTCACCTAGGAAAGGACATGCCCATGTGCTGGGCAAATTGTTACTTTGAGGGTCAAATCGCTGATTGAAAACAGTGGGCAGTCAGGCTAGCTACACGATGATGTTATTTTCTGGGTTTGCAGGGCCCTCTACTCATGTCCGCAGTTTTTACATTGCTCAAATCTGCTTGGCTTCTGACCAAGCATGCCACGGATGGACTGTGCCTTACACAAGGACGTCAGCCAGAACTCAGATGTGATCCTGCTACGCTTTGCTGGTATTATGTGAGCAACAAGAAAAAAAATGTCCTAAACGAGGGCAACATTTGTGGAGTCTTCACCAAATGTAATGTATGTGGTTTTGAAAGATTGGTAAGGGAGTGGAGAGGAGCAAGGAGGAATGACTTGTAAATTGTCAACTGTATAAAGTGTACTGTAGGAAACATATATTTGTATAAAGTGATTCTATGAAATCAGCCCCAATTAAACTCAAACTGAGACTCTATTATTTCTTAGTTTTACAGAAAATACCATAAACTTGGTGAAATGTTAAGTTCCCCGGATAGAATTTAACTTGAAAGAGGGAAGGAGCAGATGCCCAGTGGATGAAGAGAGGAAGTAGCATTGTGACATCATAGAACACACACTGGAATAGGATTCAGATCATGAATACACCCTGGTCCCTCTGGCTGAGTGAGTCTGGGGTGAGTGAGTATTTAACTGTAACAGGGTTGTAATTAATTATACTTGCTCTGTCCATCTCCCTCAAACCATGTGCTGTTGTAGATGGCACATTTGGCTATGTAGAGGACAATAACCCCAAATCCAATTTACCAACCAATTACAGAGCTTGAATTAATAAAGTTGTCATTTGTTGTGATTAGTTGTAAAATTTGAAGGTATAGCATTACAATACAATTCAATGAAGACTAATTCCCTGGCTTAAATGCAATATATTTCAAGGGTGTAGCTTTTGTATATATTGTAGCTTATTGTATATACTGTAGCAGCTTACCCCCAAATAAGAATATCTGTAGAAGGGAATAGATAGCCTTTTTTATAGTAATATCCTTAGCAATAAACTTTCTCAGATGAGCCTTTGTGAGCTGTAGAACCAAGTTTTGAGGCATTACTCTCTGGTGAAGGCTTCATACATAGATAACTGATTCTTAAGTTTCCTTAATTTTAGTCCCAGGGAAGAGGTGACAAGGTTAATATTTTGCTATGAAAATTAAGTAGTCTAGTCAGTATTTCTAGAGGGGGTCTGTGTTTGAATCCAAGATTTTCAGCAGACAGCAGCTTTAAGCCCACTCTATCCTTTGAACCAGTGCTTTGTTCAGAAATCCAGACCTTCAGTTTAAAAAAGAACTTGGCATCAAGTTTTGACAAAATATCCAGCAGACTGACTGTGCTGTAGTTTGAATGGAGTTGCAATGCTTCTTTAAAAAGTAGGTGGGTGTAGACTACTATTTAAACATATCATATTAAAAGGGTTAAATTGAAGTTAATAATTTGGTGAAAACTGAGATCTACCAGAGTGAGAATTCCACTTTAAAAATCTGCTGGCAAGCGATCTTTACCTCAGCTTTACGTAATTTAAGGTGACTAATCACAATAGTTATGGACAGAGGTCTTACCAAGCACTAGCTGAAGTAAGTTCCAGGTTGTTCAAATTTAGAAGTAGTTAATCTAGGACTATGGAGCGTAGAAAATCAGCCCTCATACATCAGTAGCAATCTGTGTTGCAGTCACATTTCAAGTGACAATCACGCTGAGAGCAGCTTGTTCCCAAATCTGCTGTCATTAATAATTTCAAGAGCCAACTCTACAGTTTCCCACTGGGTTTTATTGTACTTCAGATTAAAAAAAAATAATATGACATTTACACCAGTAAATTCAATCAATCTTTGGGTGCCTTATTTTGTTTTCTACCTTCCTATTTCCTGGCTAACTTAGCCAGGAGTTTTCTTTTTTTGTTGCTCTCCAAAGATCCTTATCAAACCAAGAGTCACATGTTTCTCAGCATTAAACAAACAAGATTGGCCTAGGACTGTTGGTAATTTGATAATAAGACAGAGAGAAAGAGTTTTCTTGGCAGTTGGTGCAGATCACTACAATTTTTTTCTGTTAGGAAAATATTACACATAAATTTAAAGAATGCTTTGCTTTACACCTGGTGGTCAGTTTAGCTCTGTGGATGTTAAGAGACATTCTAAGGGTGAAATGATAAAATAGTAATATGATGGAAAAAAGCAATCAAACAATATTTTGAAATTTATATAAATATGGGGGTGGTAGAAAAATATAGGACAGTATGAGACTGCATTCAAACTAGAAAGTCTAGTCATTCATGAAGCAATGAGTCTTTACCCAGTCCCAAAAGAAATATTGGAGCAGTGCTGATGAATATGTATAGAAACAACATGTATTTGCTGCTGGTGGGAATTTAATTTTGCAAAATTTCTGGAAAATAACTTGTCAATGATAGGATAGCATGGCTAATAAACAGAGAAAAATAAAAATAAAAAATCTAACAAGAGGAATAAACTCACAGAACATAATTGCCCCTTTGAAAGGAAAGGTCACAGCACAATAGTCTTGTTTGATTAGCCACCGATGAAGTTAGTTTTCAAGCCTTGAAGAGCCCTAGCAAAAAGAGGGGTGAAAACTTCCTACCCCGGTTCCTGCCAGAACAGATAACAAGGGCTTTCATAAGCCAGCCTCACAGAGAAGAGAGAAAAATAAATACATAAATGAATAAATAAATAAATAAATAAATAAATAGGAAAACAGACACAGTAGCTTCACAGCTGTTTTTGCTATCAGTTAACAATAATCACTTTTATTCTCCCATTACCCCCAAATAAAAATCCTGAGCCTCTCACGCTCAGGGCTGCCACTTCTTTCTTTTGTGCTCTGAGCCCTTCCCCCGCTCTCAGGGAAAGTAAAATAAACGTTTACTTCTTTCTATCCTAATCTTTGTGTTGAGAATTCTTTCTCATCCCACACTGTGAGTCCCCACCCTATAAAGGTCAGTATGTTTGAAAGCCTTTGAAGATATTCCTTTTTCATAACCTAGTAATTCCATTTCTGAGAATTTAATTTAAATACATAACTAGAGATATTTACAAGTAGGTTTACTGTAGCATTTTTTATGATAAAATGCTAGGATCGAACTAAGTGTTCTCTTTTAGAGGATGGTTAGATAAATTTAGATACATTCATTGAATCATAATTTGGAGAAAATAACTTGGGAAAATCCCCAAGTTATCTTAAGTTTTAAAACAGGTTATAAAAAGTTTGTAAAGTTACATCCCAAAGTTTGTCCATGAAAAGGTATGGGAAAAATAAAAAAATGAGTAGATGGTCATATACTAAAATGTCAGCAGAATGTGGTGATGGGTTATTTTCATTTTCTTCTATAGACTTTAATTTATGAATTTTCTCAATAAATATATTTTACTTTTATAATTAACATTTAAGAAAAAGATAAATGTATGGGGAGGTGGAAAGAAAGGCTTGGTTGGGAGAAGTGGCAGGAGATTATTCCTAAGAAGGGGTTATTGCTGAAGCAAGACAGAAGGGCAAAATGAAGATCAGCTTCACTAAAACTACAGGGTAATGTTGAGGCTGGATTGACATGGGGTGCAGTGGATAGAATGCCTGGAATACCATGTGTTTTGGGAAAATCCAGGGACAATGTAGAAAAACCGCCCCCCAAACTGAGGGGGGGAGCAAAAGACAAAATAATCACTCAGACAAGTCCAGCCTGGGGAGTTAGATGAGTCTATCAGAAGTTACTTACAAGGGTGCTTGCTCCTGGGTGGCACAGGAATTTCTTCCATGGGAGCTTCTTGCTAAATCTCCTCCCAGTGAGTAATGCAAAGTTTTTGCATTGTTATCTTTGCATGTTCACACTGAAACAAATCACAGCAGACACAGTACCATCATCAAACACTGTCATGTAACCCATGTTATATTAATGATATTACAATTTTCTACTAGGTGGAGATCTTAGTATTACAATTAGATAAAGGGCATTATAGGACACCCAAAGCAGCTCTAAAGCAGTCAGGGCCAGTTTGAGCCAGCTATTTGAAGCCAAGAAAATGCTGAGGCATCCAATAAAGTGTTGGGCACTTTTCCTCTGCCCAGTAGTTATTAAATATCTTGGTACCTGCCTAATCTACTTTGTAACAATATTGCTGAACACTGTACGCTAGCACAATGCTTACATTATGTGGTAGGGAACTTGCATTTTTCCCTCATTAGGCTCAAGAAACTGACAGGAAGTTGCCCTAGACAGTTGGTACTAGAACCATAGTTTGTCTGGGAAGGTTATCTCTGCAACAGTACACATTATGGCCATGTAAATAGAAATGAATTCAGATCAAACAGATACTGATCATGGGTTAATTCACTGTGTAAGTGGAACCCATAACTAGAGAAGATATTTTATCATCATTTGGGAAATTTAAAAAGCAAAAGTAATATATGCTCTCTCTATACTTCTATATTATTTGGATTTTTTTTTTACAAGAACAAAGTAGAAAAGCAAAGTTTCATTCTGTCCTGATGTACTCATTTTCTTCCCTCCTTCCCTAAGTCCCTCCCTCTCTCTTCCCTCCTTCCTTCCTTCTTTATACAGAATGAATAGCACTACACGTTATTCTTAACATGCTTTTTTTTTTGCATAGCACAACATATCTTTCCAGGTTAATACGTAGAATCTACAGAGATCATTTTGAGTTGAACTCTGACATATTTTCTTCTGCATTGCAATTTGTCATCTAAACTGATCCAGATGAAAAACCATTCCAACTTTGCTCAAAGAGATTAGTAATATATCCCAAATGACCAGCTCACAAGTGTGGAGTTGGGTTGAGACATAGATCTCCTGACTCAAGAAGATGTTGTTTCTTCTAGCTGCTTGCTTGCCTGTCTGTGAGAATTAATGTGCAAGATCCTTTCTTGGTACGACATTTTATAAGGTAAATAAATATTTCTGAATAAACTGGATTCCTTCATGAGTTAATATTTTACACCATAGAGGAAAAAAACAGGGAGGCTTCACACTGTAAAGACAGCTTTGCCAATTTCTTTGTATTTGCAAGGATTGACAAGATCCCATGTCCTGGTTAACAAAAGAGAGAAGCCATCCCATAGCTATTAAGACATTTCAATATAGTGTGTTAGATGATGCCCAAACACCAAGGAGGAGAATGGACTCTGTGGACTAATGCACAATAAATCAATGAAGCAAAAAATCAGCACTGCCCTGGCCATGTTCTCAGAAGAACTGTGCACAAGTTCCTTGCTCAGAGAAAATTCATCATGCTGCTCCTCGAGATCTCAATTCCATCACTAGCCCACAATAAGGCAGTAAATGTGAGGAATTTTCCATGGATCTGTCAAGAATTTGGAATTGTTACTTTCAAAGAACTTCTTGAGCTCTCAACTTCCTGATGGGGCAGGTTAGTGTTTGGTGATTTGAATGCCACAGGAAAATCGGAGGGTTTGGGAAGTTTAAAGCCATGTGCCGCAGACTTCATAGATATTCTGTTTGCATGGTGAAAACTAGATGTTTGGGGAAGGTATCAAATGTGCCCTCAGGCTACATAGACATTTCTTACCCAGGTCTGTCTGAGAATATAAAAATACCTGCTATGCACCACTGGCTTTATCCCTGCAGAGAGGCAGGCATTCCCCAGTCAAAACCTTCTCTCTTACTGTATCACAAATTGTACTTGGTCCCAGCCCACCTTAATGCTCTCTTGAGTTAGCCAATGGCTTTCCCAGGGACTCTTTGCTCTGTTGCTGGAGACATTCAGAAAAATGATGCAGCCCTTGACCTTGAGTTCCTCACAACTAACTTGGGGGAAAAGTGCACACAGTTACAGAACAATGTACTCAAAAGTATGAACTACTGTAGAACTGTTGTTACCTGAATCTTTATTCTCTTCTAGGACCTCAAGGAAAAATAAATAAGTGAACACTGAGACAATGCTAAGTAGTCTCGGTATCTCCTATTGTAGGAGTGAGGGGAAACCTGCCCTTTTCCCTGAAAATTTGTTGAAAGATCAACTCACAATTAAGGTATATTAATAAAAGAAAGGTTTATTTACCATGGGCATGGGGAGAATCACAGAACAATTACCCACTATCCCAATGAAGTTCAGATATTTTTATACATGCCTTTCAGAAGGGAGGGGGAAAATCAGGAGTATAGGTAATTCTGTTTAGGGGCTACACAGTTGCTATGGAGGATGAATGAATGGGGGAAACAGATTGACTTAAATTAACCTGAGAGACAGGATTATGTTGTAAATGATTTGGGCAAGGTCTGGTGATATTCTGCAATATATTGAGATAACAGGGAGAGGAAGGGAAGTCAATTGCCTCCCTCTGATGTTTTGTTCAGCCATTCTGGTTTTTGTAGAGAGAGAAAAAGCCCCCTCCAGTGCATTGTGATCTTGAGGGGCCTGTGATTCAAAATATTCTTTATACCAAGGAGTCATATTTTAGGGTAAAATTTCCTGAGCTCCTTCTTCATTCCCCCTGTCTGGAACTTCTCTAGAAGTTTCACACATGAAAAGCTGAGTCGGTAGCTGTGGAGAGAGAGATCGGGTTAGTAGTCAAGTATCAAGAGATCTGAAAAGGGAGAGAAGGACATAGATTAGAATGAGAATGAATAAACAGAAAAGAATAGATCTAACCACATTTCCCCACACCCCGTGAAACCAGTCTCCCATTCTTGGGACATTGGTCTTCATTAATCTGATGGATAATATTTATCTTGTCTTCTAAGAGGTGTAGGTCACAGTCTTTACTTTCCCTGTGTGGTTTTACATAGAAACACATTTTTCACCAATAATCATGTAATCTCCTCTCTGCTGGGCTGCCAGGGCATCCATGATGCAGCAGTTTTCAAATACAACAAAGACTAAGCTATTGACTTCTAACTGAAGTGCTCCAAATGCTCATATGGTGGTAGTGAACTCTTGTTCTACCCTCATGGAGAGATTTAAAACTGTCTTTTCAATCTCCTGAGTTCCAATGATGGGCAAAGAGTCCTGAGCACCAAAAATGACTTAGAATTGTGATATGCAAGTGTTTTGTTCTTTTTTTAACCATGTCTAGTACATTTCCTTGGTACCACTTTATGAATGTAAGAGCCTAAGTCTGTAGTTTGGCTGGCATTTAAAGTGGATTACGTAGTAACAGAGGGTGTCAGATAACAAAGCCCACAGTGCCCTGACCATCTAGGTGGGAACCACTTATATACTCTGTCACCACACATGATAAAAAGACCAGTGTAATTTACAGATAGGGTCAGGTAGGAACCTGTGACCTCCCAGTCTGGAGATTGCTGTGTTTCTTCTTCCTCATTGGCACTTCCATATCTCCCATGTCCATTGTTTTATGTGAGCTCTGAGCTTTAGCTTTTGGGTGATTTCACACTGGCAGGTGACTATTGTGTTGATCCATGTATAATGCATTTCTGAGTATTTCCTGCAGGGCAGCCAGTCTAGTCTTGACAAATTCTCTCAGTGTTTGCTCACGTGGAAAAGTCTTTATTTCGCCTTCATTTATGAAACTTAGCTTTGCAGAATACAAAATTCTAGGCTGGCAGTTGTTCTGTTTAAGAAAGCCGAGGATGGGGCCCCGATCCTTTCTGGCCTTTAAGGTCTCAGTTGAGAAGTCTACAATTAGCCTAATGGGTTTTCCTTTGTAAGTTACTTGATGCTTTTGTCCTACAGCTCACAGGAGTCCTCCTTCTTGTTGACTTTGGCCGGTCTGATGACCATGTGTCTTGGTGATTGCCTCTTTGAAATGAATCTCCCTGGTGTTCCTTAAGCTTCTTGTACATGGATGTCTAAATCTCGAGCAAGACCTGGGAAGTTTTCCTCAATTATTCCCTCAAATAGGTTTTCCATCAGTTATGTTTTCTTCTTCACCCTCAGGGATGCCCATGATTCATTCTTATATTTGACCATTTTACATAATCCCTTATTTCTTGTAGTTGCTTTTGTGGCCACTAGGGGGAGCCACTGGCAGGAGGGTCAGGACAAGCTCCCCAAGCTGGTAGGGCTGTTTAATCTTCAGTGCTGAGAACCTGGGCTGGGATTTTTTCCACCCATATCCAGTTAGCACGGTTTTCTGTGGGGTGGGGTGGGTGCTCCCCCAACTGGCCACTCCTTGGACCCCCCCCCAGACACCCCGTAAAATTGAGTCAGTGAATGCTGCAAAGGGCATGCTAATTGACCCTCTCTCAGTAGGTGGTGCTTGCCAGAAGGAACAAGCTGCAATATTGTTTTGGGGTCCTAAGACTGGATCTAGTCCTTCAGGAGAAGCCTTGAATGCCCCATGTGTTAAGTGGGGCCCTGGAACTTCCTTATTCTCTGCCACAGCAGAGGTGGTGGGGGAGTGCAGCTGGGCGGGGCTGGGTTCCATGAGTTTGCCCTCCATCTCTATAAAAGCTGGCAAAGTAGCTGTTTTGGCAGGAGTCGAAGGTCAGCTCCTGAGCAAAGCCACCAGGGAAGGACTGAAGTGGCTCCACCCACCCAAAAAGTCTGTTTGTGGAGGCAGGTCCGTCTGAGATTCACAATCTGGCAGTCTGCTGTAGGCCTTGCTCCTCTCTACCTCCTCCACTCTGCAGTCTCTCCCTGACATCTGCTGGCAGGCAGGAGCCCAAGGCAGCCAAGCTCCCCCGTGACTGTGCTGTGGGTCAGGAGGTTCCCTGCCCAGTTTGGAGTTTTGTTCTACCATTCATTAAATATATAGCCTTAGACTACTGACCTCACCTCTCTGAATCTTGATTTTTTTCTTTATAAGATTAAGTGATACCATGTTGATAAAATGCCAAGAACAAGACACTCAATCCAAGTTATTAGGAAAGCAAGTCCAACTTGAATCTACCTAAGAGAAATGGTGCAGAAAGAGTGTAATCAGTATGGAAAGTCTTCACACTTCTAGGAAGAAGTAATCCAGCTGAGCATAGTGAGGTGTGCGAAATACAGATATGTGGAGATGGTGCATAAAAATGACCAAGGTTGTCAAAGGTATGGAGAAATGAATTGTCTACCTGGATATATAGGAGGCTAAACATCCAGGGTTCAGTCTCCTACCTTCGCCTGTGTCATTGTTAGCTACATGACCTTGATTTTTATACACCATTTCTGAGTTTCTCTTATAAAATTAGAATGATCCTATCAAATTGTAAAAGAATCACAAAAAGTGAAGAAGGGACACAGGGGAGAATGAGATAAGATAACGAGGAGGCCTAAAACTTCTCCTAGAATGAAAAGTTAAAAGGCTGGAGACAGAGGGCCACTAAAACACTTACAGTGTCAATGATTCAGACTTAACTATAAGAGCAAAGATGATTTAAGCAGTGGCCTTTTGAGAGAGATCAGCAAGGAAGAGTTCTGTGGGCCTCTTTAGAAGGATTTTTTAACCAGCTGTCAGCATTCAGTGGGTTCAGAGCTCCAATTCCCAGGGCTTTGTTTTCTGCCACAGTGATTGTAGCATGTGTGGCTGACCCCTCATTTATTGCTCTCTATCCTCTTGTTATCATGTTAAAAAAAATCTGACAACTGTCTTCTTTTGTTTTGGGGGATCCTTTACTGTATGATCTTGTTGGAAGACAATCTCTCCCTCTCACTACAAAAAGCAGAAAACATTAATTTTCCCAGGTTTGTGGCATGTGATTTAGGGCCAGCCAATAAGATTATCCCTGCCTGGGATAGCTAGGCAAAGAAGCAGGGACAATGGGGCCACCCTTCCCTGCACGGGTTGTGATTTAATAATGATGTCCTATTTCCATAGGAAAGAGTAGCCATGGTGCTGATGTGCCCAGCATCCAGGGTTGACAGCAGCAGGATCCTCTCCCTTTAGCTTTATTTAAGTGATTTAGCACTAAATCTTATCCCAGGATTTGGACAGTGACAGAAGAAACCCTGGGCCAGTGGCTTGTGAAGTTCAGTATGTGTATAGCCATCACTGGGGTTCCTGTTGAAACTCCAGATATCCAAGCCATGCTCCCCAAAGTTCTGATTCAGTACGTTTAGGGGTGGGGCCCCCAAATATTCATTTTTAATCGGTACCCCAGGAGATGTTGATGCAGGTGGTCTGTAGAGGATGACTTGAGAAATAATTCCTAGAAAGATCAATGTGAATGATGCTGAAAACAGTTAATGTGCAAGCAGATACTTAGCAATCAACAGTCTCCCTGCTTACTCACAGAGGAAATTAACATGCAAGGAGCACAGGGCCTTTCAGCTGGGAATTATTCCAGGGACCCTCAAATCACAATCCGGTGCTTTATAAATCCAAAGTTCTCCTTGTGTAATTTTATACATGTTGTTGGTGTTTTTGTTTGTTTAATGTAGCAGCCCAAGACTGGCCAGAGGTAGGTCAGTTAATCTTGTCTGATCTGGATTATTAGGGCCTCTGACTCTCAGAAGCACTAAATTGTTGCTATAATTTTCTTTCTTTCTGTGAGAACAGAGGGGGAGCACAGCACTGAACGCAGGTTGCTATGCTAAGTTTAACCCTGCAAAAGCAAATGAAACGTGGAGCACTTAATTTCTTCCACTTGAGTTGCAGTCAGCCAACAGACCCATTAAATTCTTGCTTCCTTTGTATAAGCAGATGGAGTACAGACCTAAGGTTCTTTTGCTTTCCCACCCCCTGCCCCAAGGGATGGAAAATGAAATTTCATATAAAAAAAGCGTAGCTAATGCTAAATGCAGCAAAATATCCTGAATAGTTGTCCCTCTGATTTAAAAGGCTGACAAGTGTCTCACAAACATCTTTACTGGAAAATAATGATAATAAAAAAAATCCTAGAGTGAAGAAATTCTACCTTCAAAGTAATGGAAAGAAAACTAGTTGAACACTCTCAATCCTTCAGCACTCCAGCATTTACAAATCTTGGGAGAAACTCAAGTTAATTTCTAAAAATTTTTTCCCAATCACTGTTTCTTTGCTCTCTAAAGAAAAGTATGCTTACGAGATTATTTTTGGTAGGATATATTGGGTAGGATTTAGTTTACCCTTTTCGACCATACAAAAATAAGATCTCTTGGGATTTT